AGCAAGTATAGTGTCTCAGAGGTGTGTCTATCCAAGAGGCCACAGGAAAACTTAGGGCATGACACATGTCCATAACAGAAGACAGCTTTTGCTGATACTATTCATATCTGCTATATGTAAAGGTGGCACTTGTAACATATAAAAACGAAGCTGTTAATACTGTGATAAATTTTCACAAGGGTATGACTAAGAAAATAATTAAAACATTTCTCCTTATTGGAGGAAGAATACATTTATGAAAACTTTCATTTCCTGATTACTCAGTTAATATTTTTTTCATTCATATGTCACTGAGGCAGATGAAGACTAGATAGTTATTGTTTTCTTTCTTACCAGATTCAGAAAATAAATTTACTAAAGAGATGTAAAGTATATAGATAGGGTTCAGAGACATTAAAAGATAGTTTTGGTAATGCAAGATAGAATAGAAAGTGAGTTAGGTACTACCTTTTGTACCTATATAATTAAGATAGATAATGGAGTATTTTCTCTGAATTTGTCAAATGTTTATGGACCAGATATTATTGATATATTAATTGCCTATGTGTATTTATATAGTTATTATACTTATTATATATAGTTTTGCTTATATTAGTTATAACTTTTTTATTCAGACAAAAAGAGGAAATGTGGTGACATTTTGCTTGTGTTATAACATACAAAGCTTGCCTGAGTATCAGTGTGGAGCTAGCCACTAGTTAGCCTCAGAAGCCAGGCAGTGGTGTCACACACATTAAATCCCAGCACCCAGGAGGCAGAAGTAGATGGATTTCGTTGAGTTCCATGTCACCTTGGGCTACACTAAATAAATCCAATCTCAAAGAGTGGTGGCAAACACCTTAAATCCCAGTTCCTGGCAGACATCGGCCTTTAATTCAAATACTGGGAACAAAAGGTTGTGTTGGATGGAATATGGGAAATAAAAGGATTCTGGCTGAATGGGTTTGGGGTGGGATGAATGGAGAGAATGTGAAAAAGATATCTCAGTTGGGGAGCATATTGGGGTTAGGAAGAAACCTAATGCCAGTGAAACTCCCAGGAAAATAGAGGAACAACCTCAGCTTAGACTCCTAGCAATAGAATTGTGTAGCTTGATCTTTTTGTGGGACTCCAAGCAGTAGGATCAAGACTTGTCTCCGGTGCTTAAACTGAATTGCAGAAACCATATCCTCAAGCTTGGTTGCCTTGCCCAAACTTGGTGCTTGACTTGCCTCAAATTGATATATCATTCTTTGTTGAATCCCATGGGAGGCCTGTCCTTTTTTGAAAGGAGATGGAGGTGGAGTAAATGTGGGAGGCTAGAAGAAAGATTTGTGAAGGAATGGGAACAGTGGAGGGAAGGAAAACTTTGAACTGTATGTTAGAATTTGACAGAAGACATCTAGCACAGATCAATATGGGTGAAGACAATCAAGCCTATTCCCAGTCAGCGCAAATTATGCCTCTAGACTAATGAATGTTGTATTCTCTTCTTTGAATTGAAATATTATGGGCTAGGATGATTTGAACACTTATGATCTCTACCAATATTTAGGTCTCATGGATGGCAGGCAGCAGTTCGCACTAAGGCCACTGAAGGAAACAGGGCCACTATGATAGAGTACATAATCTCACTGGACTCTTAAAATGGGTAGAGTAGAGCAGAAGGAATCAGATCCACCAACACACTCATTGGTGTTGAAATGAAGGAATGTGTAATACAACAATTAGTTCCCTGTGCTTAATACAGTAATTCATAGTGATGTGTGAAAGAAATAATTACTGGTAATAGATATAATTTTATGTTAAATATTGATTACTATTTGATTTAATATCTCATTCGTTTTAAAATCTTGATACTTTCTCAGAACAAATGATACTTGGTGTCCTAAGTTTTTTTACCAAGTTTATTTTTACAAACATGCTATTAAATATAATGCGTTCACTAAGAAATTTGCATTATTTATTACATAGAGTGAATATTCTTGTATCCTTGAATTTTATTTAATGTATTTTTTCCCTTTATGGTAAAATATTCCTAGTTCAGAAGCTGGCTCATTCAGTAACATACATAATTTGAAATTATGAACTTCTGTGTTTATTATTAGAATATACAGGTAAAAATCCAGGAATAGTATTCTGGGCATGCAATCCCAGGGCATGATTGGCAATGATAGATCTCTTAGTTTTGCCATTTAGCCAAACTAGATTACTTGGTGAATTTTATTGAAATTAACTATCTCAAGTGAACCCAAGGTATTAGATATTTGAGTTAAAATATTATTTCTGAACATAATAGCAAAGTTGCACATATGAGCTTTATGCAGATAAAACTGTGTGTATATGATGGTATCATGTCAAGTTAGCCAAAATCACAGGATGGTTGTTACAGGAAGGAATGAAGTCCTACTCATATTTTACTAGTCATTGGCATTTAATGAACGGCTGAGGAAGGATGAATTTATTTTCTTTAGTAATGTTTGATATCAGAAAATACCCAACTTCCAGGAGAGTTCCATACATTCATGAAGAAACAGGCAGCCCTAAATGAGCTCAGTTTCTATTAAGAAATGAAGGAGCGTTGGTTCTATAACCCTATATTTTGACTGGCTATTGTTTTCTGAAATGATTTCTCTGTTACAATGGAGAATTTCTTAATGATGAGAGAAACCTCTATTTATCTCAGTGTGTGAGGGACAAGGTTTCATAAGTTGTTAAGGAGCATTAATAAATTGTTGATATTAATCCTCCTCCCTTACCTATACCTTCATCAACACCGAGTAATTAACTATATTTCCAATAGCAAGCATTGTCTCCCTGTTGTTGATCAGGTCATAAGCACAAAAGGAGAGGCATTGAATACCATCCAGATACTTGTGCTAGTACTGCACTTTTAAGGTTATTGTGCCATGCTATTCATTGATGTGATTATAGCCATCATAGCCGCTTAGGACTTGAGATTGTCTTCCTCCTTCAGAAGCTTGCACAATCATAATGTATGCCTTTACATGTTCTCATGGTACAATGCAGGATTTCTTATAAGAAGCCAGGATCTATTCCCAAGGAGCCAGGTACATGCTCACACTGCAGGCACCATTGATTGGTTTCCTGTATTGTCAATTCTAGTCAGATTTTATGTTTACTTACATTTTTTTCCTGTCTTCCTAGTTTCAGTTTCCCTGTTTCTGTGGTAACATACAGGGAGGGGGACTGATGCATGAAATAGCAGCTTAGCTGGAAATCTCCATAGTTACAGCAGGCCCTTGATTTCCATTGGTAGCTTTGAGATCTGTCTCATGATTGGCCCAAAAATCCATTCTCTAAATGATATCACACACTCAGCCAATCTGAGGCAAACGGAGATAATATCAGTCCCTTCACAAAGGGGTTTTGTCAGTCGGGCTCCTGGCTGGAGACCAGTTCACAGCTGGTTCCTGGTTCTAGCCAGGACCTGACTATAACCTACTGGTCAGTGAAGAAGGATTGCTCCTAAAATTTACCAGGAGGCAGAGCTAACTGACTTGTAATCTTCATTTCGCATTTAACATGTACCAATCAAGATATGCATTCACCTGTCATTTCAGTGAAGTAAGTCATGTAATTTAATGAAGTTAAATTACTTTGAGTTGCTCTTTGATATCATGAATCATTTTCAATTGTATTTCTTATAATCACCCTGTGAATATGTACATCCTGTGTCAGTTGTTCTTCACCTTCCTTTTTTATCTTTTTTTAAATTACTTTATAAATAATACCATTCAAAATTTCTACTTTCTCCCTTCCTCCCACTTTTCTCCTGCTCCCCTGCACATCCTCTCCCCACCTCCCTTCCATCCTAAGATAAGGCAGGGTACCCTGCCCTGTGGGAAGTCCAAGGCCCTCCCCCCCTACATCCAGGCTTAGGAAAGTATGCATCCAAATAGAATAGGATCCCAAAAAGCCAGTACATGCAGTAGAGACAAATCCCATTACCATTGGCCCCTTTGTCTGACCCAACTATCAGCCACATTCAGAGGGTCCAGTTTGATCCCATGCTCATTCAGCCCCAGTCCAGCTGGAGTTGGTGAACTCCCATTAGTTCAGGCACACTGTCTCAAAGGATGGACCAACCCTTCATGGTCCTGACTTCCTTGCTCATATTCTCCCTCCTTCTGCTCTTCAACTGGACCTTGGGATCTCAGTCCAGTGCTCTGATGTGGGTCTCTGTCTCTATCTCCCTCTGTTGCCGGAGGAAGGTTCTATGGTGATATTCAAGATAGTCATCAGTCTGACTATGGGACAAGGCCAGTTCAGGTACCCTTTCCTCCACTGCACAGAGTCCTAGCTGGGGTCATCCCCATGGACTCCTGGGAACCCCTCCAAAGCCAAGCCTCTTGCCAACCCAAAAATGGCTCCCTCAATTTAAATATCTCCTGTCCTCTTCCCATATCTGTCCTTCCTCCATCTCAAACATCCCACTCCCCAAGCTCTCCCTAACACTCTCTTTCTCTCCCTTTTCTCCTCCTTCTTTCCACCCTCAACCCACATGCTCCCAATATTTGCCTGGCGATCTTGTCTGCTTCCAATTTTCAGGAGGATTATATATGTTTTTCTTTGGGTTCACCTTATTACTTAACTTCTCTACGATCGTAAACTATAGGCTCTATATCCTTTGTTTTTGGCTAGAATCCACTAGCAGCAACACTTTAATAGTTTCCTATGTTGTGGTGACCACCAATCATATAACTATCTGTGTTGCCACAGTATAACTGTAATTGTGTTAACAACAGAGATTACAACATCAATATCTGTGTTTCCTAGTGGTTTTAGGTGACGCTTGTAGAAGAGTGACTTGCCCACAGAGGGGTTGAGACAAAAAGATTTAACACCATGGTCTTATGTAAATTTTATTATCCTTGTATTTTTTTCCCTATGAAATATTTTAAGAGGGTAAGAGTTTAGGGTCAGGATAATTGACAAGTGACACACATTAGAAACAACTCAAGACAGCACAAACAATGAACATATTTAATCATTTACAGACCTCAGAGGAAGAAACTCACATGGAATGGCAGATTGATAACACTCCAGGTAACGTCGAAGTAATGGATGGAGATACTTATATAAATAGATGATGATAAGTAAATAGGTTCAGAAGTGGAGGTGAGTAGAGTGAGTTCACATCCTTTTTATCATGTATAGACATTTTAAAAATACTTTGGCTTCTTTGTCATCATGGGTTCAGAGGAAGCAGCAGGTTTCCTGGGAATCTTATGGTAACTAAACAGGAGTTGCTGTTCTCCTCCACAAGACCAGTAGAAGCTGTGACCCTCATTGCACAAGCTCAAATGTGGGTTTAATTTAATTTTAATCAATTTTGGGTGAATTTTAAATTTAAACTTATATTAATGCTTGGTTCTCTTAGAAAAGTATATTGCTAAACTCTCAAAGGTGTTTCTCTAAAGTGGGAAGTCTGTAGCATGGTTAATAAAAACCCAGAGATAGATATTCACGTTCACTCTGAAGGATAGAAAAGCAAAACAGCCAGCCACTGGCTCTTCCTCTGTTTGAAATGGTGATCCTGTCTTTAGGAATTTCAGACTGAGACTGTGTCTGAGAGCTGTCTCCTCCTGCTTATATTCCTTAGGGCTGGGATTAAAGGCATGCACCACTACTGCCCAGTTTCTATGGGAAACTAGTGTGGCTACTAGTGTTAAAGATGTTTATCACCACTGACTGGATTGTAAGGCTGATTAGTCAGACTGTTTTTCTCTCTGATCTTCAGGCAAGCTTTATTTATTAAAATAAAAATGAAATATTACTACAGAACTCAAAGGTAATATCTGGTTTCTCTAGTAAGAATCTAAGTTGCATTGACAGAGATTGAAAATGTAGCCTTAGAACTGTCAGAATATAATTATGCCTCAGTATTAAACATGTGCTTGTTTGAAAGCTCCTCAGTTTCTGCAGATATACTGTGGGGAATCATAGTTTGCTCTCATCCTATAATAGATTAAAAGTACAATTAGTCCAAAGATCATGTGGGACTTATTGTTTTGTAAATTTATTTGACTTATTTTTTTAAATTTATATATGTAACCAATATAGCTTTATCATATCCACCATCGCTCCACCAAATCTCAATTTCCATCTCACATCCTCTTTCTACAATGATTTATTTATCCAATTATTTCATTTTGTACCTCCCACTTGTACATATAAAGTGAATGCCAAACAACATTCTCATCAAGGAGGAGGGAGAAAGAACATGACAGTATAGTTGAGAGAAAACATATGTACTGAGGAAGAAATTATTTATTGGAGTCAAAAAATGTTCACAAAGTCATCCTTGTATAATGGGTTTGCATTAAGTGACACAGAGCCCAGGAGTTTACTGTTACTCTGCATCTGTCATGATTTATTTACATTTTCTCATGGCCTGTAAGTTGAGAGAGCCTCAGTAGTGATATTTAATTGCTCTATCTCTCTTTGCTATAGACTCTTGTCAGGAGGGATATTTACTTTGTGTTAATATCTAGATGGATCCTGTTGATGACCCTGGGAATGGCAGTGAAAAAGAAACATGAAGGGTGAGTGCACTTCATTTATCAGTACAATATCAAATTTATATTCACATGAATGCATAGCCTAAACTTGTAAGCATCCATTATGTACAATAGTTATTTTTTCCAGTAATAACTCTCTATGTCATCAGGGACTCAGAGAGAGACCAGAATGTATAATGATGCCTCCATGTATGCCATTATAAGAAAGCAATCATTCGTGCTAGGAAAAGACATTTAACCAAAAGACATTTGGTTGAAAGTAAACCCTTCAGTAATTATTGTGTTATCTATGTTGTATAAGTAAGGACAACAACCTCTGGTTTGCCATCGTTTATCTTGGTAGAATATAGATAGGTCTGCTGTTTCGAACATATTTAACAGGAGTCGGGAGGAATACTTTGCATTTCTTTCCATATGAAGTGGTGTTTATCACACTTGTGGTAGTTGCAAGCATAAACCCAAACTGCAGATGAATTTTGGAAGTCAATGATGCTGTTCATGATATGGGGAAAAAGACAAATTGGACGTGGGCCTTTCTGTCTCACCAGCCACTCACCAAATAACCACACAGATAATGTTAATTATAAATGCCGACCTTATGTAAGGCTTGTTTTTAGCTAGCTCAAGCTCTTACAAGTTAAAATAAGCCATTTATATTTATCTATGTGCTGCCATGAAGTAGTTTATGTCATACACATACTTCTTCCCTTCTTACACTCCGTCTCATTGCATCTCTGAGTGAGCCCTTATTTTTTCAACACTGTATCTGCTTTGAACCTCCTTCCTAGTCATCAGTCAATCACTGTATTATTAGCAATGAATGCAATATATCTTCATAGTGTACAGAAGGCTTATCCCACAACATAAAATAATTTATATAAAGTGTCATGAGCAAGCACTCATTGCATAGGAACATTTAATATGATTTTTCCGACTGTACAGTGCTTTTGGGAGTAGTTGCCCAGTCATGGATAGTACAATGATATAATGACACATGTCTAGGGTAAAGATACATTTGCAGGGTCAATCTGAAGGAGAAATTGCAATAGAGTGGTCTTTTTCCCATTCATATGCTGTGCCAGGTGTTACAGCTGGGTGGATTCATGGAATCATTTGGGGTGTAACTCTCAGTGACTAGCCACACTAGCAACATGAGTACTACTACTGGTAAGGAGAGATATATCCTGGTGTGAGTTGTCAGGAGTGAGACCCCAAGTGTAAGCTGTGGATTAGAAAAAGAAAGGCACATGAATCTGGGATTTGTTTTGGCATCTTATGTAGTGAGAAAATTGGATAAAGGAAGAGAAATGAAGATGTTGGAATTTTTGTTTGTGTGACATAATGGTAAGTGGGTAGAGAGTATAGTATAGCAACAATACAGAACAGTTCTAGGGATACCTAAAACTGGAGCCCATGGTAAGAATCATGTAGTTAAAAGGAAGCACATATTCTTCCAAAAAAAATCCCCAAAAGTCACTACGTCAGTACTGTTTCATACAAAAGAAAATCTATGTGACAGCATTTAGGTGTAGGTATTATTTAGGATCAGATGTGTGATACAATGGTAATCAGAGATAATTCAACAAAAAAATATTCTGTTGTCATGAAAAAGCTTTAAATAAGAAAATGAGACTCTCACAGGCTGTCTTGTATAGCTGTGCTATAAAGGGGCAAAAAAGATCAGTCTTAGGGTTGTGGAAGCCCAGAAACTGAGAATTGTAACTATTTAGTTCCCCTTGAGACATAGTGTGCATAAACTCTTATAGTACAATGTTTATCAGACTCTGATGGACTGGTTCCTGTGAGTCATTGGGGATATTTGTCCATTAACAGTGCATTCTCCAGGGAAATAAGAAGTTAAAGGATATTAGAGATTGAGCCAGAATTCTGGGGGAGCTAAGTATTAAGGAAAGTTAGGTATGATGCACAATTGATTTATGTTCACAGTAAGGATTTTGAGATTGTCATAGATGTTTAGGCGCCTTGCTGATGCTTATGTTCAGCAAGATCTTTAAAATATTGAAAGTCTTTGCATTTTAAGTGTGACAGACAAGCATGTACAGAGTCTCAAAAAAGAGCAATTGCATTTTTGATGATATGGGAGACTATAAACACAGGGAGAGGTCCATCTTATATACTGGAAGGAAAGTTGTCAAGATTATTCTTGAGGCTAAATTACTAAGCAAAGAAAATGAAATGAAGCCTAATGCTGTGGTAAACAACTTCTGGGAAACTTCAAGGCCTCATGAACTTTAAAGAGAGCATCTATGATAAAAAATATAGGAAAAGATAACCATGCTTATTTTTATTTTTCCATTCAAATATTTACACTTGCTCCCCTCCTCCCAATCCTCTCCCGCTCCCCCACTCACCCTCTTCCCTCCTCTTCCCTGCCTGAGGGAAGTTCAAGGCCCTCCCCGCTACATTCAGGCCTAGGAAGCTGTGCACCCATATAGACTAGGGTCCCAAAAAGCCAGAATATGCCGTAAAAACAAGTCCCAGTGCTTTTATAAATGGCTTCTCAGTTAGCCCCCATTGTCAACCACAATCAGAGACTCCAGTTTGATCGCATGCTCATTCAGTCCCAGTCCAGCTGGATTTGGTGAGCTCCCATTAGAACAGGCACACTGCCTCAGTTGGTGGACCAGCCCCTTGCGGTCCTGACTTCCTTGCTTGTCTGCTCCTTCTGTCCTTTAACTGGATCTTGGGAGCTCAGTTCGTTGCTCTGATGAGGGTCTCTGTCTCTATCTCTGCCGGGCAAAGATTCTATGGTTATATTTGAGATAATCATAAGTGCTAGTGGGGCAAGGACGGTTCAGGCACCCTCTGCTCTGCTGCCCAAGGACTTAGCTGGGGACATTCCCATGGACACCTCGGATCCCCCCTATAGCCAAGTATCTTGCCAACCCTAAAATGGCTCCCTTAATGTAGATATCTTCTTCCCTGCTCTTATATCCGTCTTTCCTCCATCTCCACCCTCCTCCTCTCCCAAATCCTCTCCAATCTTTCCCTTCTCCCTTCCCTCTCCTGCTCTCTCTTTCCCCCAAACTCACCCCCAGCCATACCCCCACCCCCATGCTTCCAACTTTTGTCCATCAATCTTGATTGCTTCCAATTTCCAGGCAAATCTATATATGTTTTTCTTTGGGTTCACCTTGTTATTTGGCTTCTCTAGGCTTGTGAACTATAGGCTTAATGTCCTTGGTTTATGGCTAGAGTCCACTAATGAGTGAGTACATACCATATTCATCTTTTGGGGTCTGGGTTATCTCACTCAGGATAGTGTTTTATTTGATGAGGAATTCCCCTCTGTATGTTGTTATTATGCTTTGTTACCACTGGTTAATAAAGAATCTGCTTGGGGCCTATAGCAAGGCACAGTATTATCAGGTGGGAAATCTGATATATAGAGAGAATAATTAGAGTCATAGAGATACCAATTAGCTCCTGAATACTTAGGAAACCTACCAGGAAACCACAAGCCTTGTGGTAAAATATAAAATAATAGAAATGCTGTAATTTGAGATATAAGAGTTAGTGAATAAGAAGCCCAAGCTAATAGGCCAAGCAGTGTTGTAATTAATGCAGTTTCTTTGTGATTATTTTAGGATTGGGAAATGAATGAGCAGTCTCCACCAACAGAATGTCAGCCACCTGAGCAACTGCATCTACATAAAATCTGCAAGAACTTTGGAATATATTCTAGTCACAAAAGAACAGAGTTAAGCACAACTTCTTAATAGGTGCATATTTTCAGATAGGCTTTGTTTGCTAGCTATAAGCAGGGGCACTGTGACTCTTTCAAAAGAAAACTTAAAAAGACAGCTTACTGGTTCATGCTTTAAGCAAAAACTCTTGCTCTTTCAGGGGGTTGAGCACTTGAATGGGCAACGCTGCAAGTTACTTGGTGACAGCTTGGACAAACTGCTTACCAGATTTGAGGAGGTGAGTGTGGCCTGCTCCTGGTGGTCCCAGAGATGGCCAGGAACTACCTCAGCCACATTAAAAGACAGAGAGTGGTGACAACACTGCTGATCATTTTAACTTGTTTTTGTCAGAAAAGGATTTCAGATACACAATAGGACAGATTCAGAAGTAAAATACCTCTAAATGAGACAAGATATATGAAAAAATGTACATAGGCTTGGGAAAGAGAAGAGAAAGAGTATAGAGAGTTATTAAAAGAAGGAAATCATTTAAAAATAAATCAGTCTTTAAAGGAAAATAATACAGACAGTCACAGATTAAGGGAGCAAAGAAAAATATGTCACATATGAATGGAATATATACAGAGAGACTGTATTATGTTTGCTATTGTGTTTTCTTTGATTTTTTTGACTGTGAATGAGTTAAGTACTGAGAGACATATATATTTTAAAGGTATCTTTCTTCAAATTTTGGATCTAAGGATATGTTGCTTTGGAAAAGAGGTTCTGCTTTTCTTTTCACAGACAATAGAAAGCTGTAGATTCCTTAATGGCTAATACAGTTTGGTCAAATAAGACCCCCTGAGGCAATGGCCTAATTTTTCTAACATCCACAACAGTTTCAGGACTGAAGGTTGAGACAGACTTTCCACACAGTACACTCCACCCCATGACAGACCTGGTGAACTGTGCCCCCAATCAGTAGCATGTAGTCTAGAGAACAATGCCCCAATTCACAAACATTGTTTATAAATATTTGATTTCATTTAAAGAAGGCTATATTACAAAGATGAATACTTTGCATTGGTATGTATTTTGGACTATTGATACACCACTGACCAGTTTACTGGAATGCTCACTTCATTCAGATCTCAAATTATTCCAAGAATCATGCCATCTTACCATTTCCTTACATCATTCTCAATGTGAGATGACTTAAGTAATAAGTGAATAGATAAGCCTTGGATGTTCTTATTCTGTCCACATAGTCTTTCCCTATGTAACAGAGCTTAGTGCATTTCTCTGTTATGAATCTATTTTCTGTGAATGAAAGCATTTGCTTTTGGGAGGATGTTTCCTGGACTATGCGTGTTTCATTCACTTACATCACCAAAGAATTTCATGAACTTAAATATTTGAAAAGGCTTTTTAAAATTGCCTTTTTATAAACATAGAAATAATTATTGTGGTACTTGGATCTGTTATGGAGATGCTGGCTCACATGGCAGAGAAAATCTTGCCCTGCAGTTGCCCCAATTAATAGCCATCGCTGGATTGAGTTTTTTCTTGATGCATGTGCCTGAATTCCATTTGTAACCCTAGTAAGCACATTGATTCACAAAGGAGAATTTTAAGGCAATTTTCGTTTAATTGTATGGATGCCATTCTTTCTTCATGTCTCACCAGGGAAATATAAACAGCAGGAAAGTATGTCAAGGTGCAGTTTATTCTTATATATTTGAAAAATGTCTCGTTATTTTTGAAATTATAATATTATTACATAATTTGCCCTGATGCTTTCTTCCTCTAAATCTTCCTATACATCCTGCCTTCCTCTCATTCAGATTCTTGTCCTTTTAAAATGTTATTTGATGTTGCATGCACATAACTGCATCAGTGTAGATACATATTTCTTAGTAATTAAAGAAACCATGATCCATGCTAGTTTTTCTACTGTTATATCTTAGATTGTCAGTGCTGACTTTTAAGTATTAATAACCATTTGTTTGTATGCTTCTATTGTTAAAATAAAATTTCTGTTTTTTTGAGTCTTCTGGGTGAGTAACAATTCATCCAGTATGCTTTTCTTTGCCTCATATAAAAGAAAAGATTTGTCTTTTGAACATTGATGTTGACAATTGTCTAAAGTTCATGTGAAACTCTAGATGGCACCAGTGTAGCTCAAATTGTCATAAGTATATTCTTCAGTTAATTCATTGAAACCAAGTCCTCTTATTCTTTCCTTAGAAAACTTTTATTTCTCTAGCATACCTTGCCAGGGTTGACAACTGTGGAAACACATCTAGTTAGATGATCAAAGAGAGTGGAAATATAGGACATTTATCTTCTTTCAATAAAATCTATGGCTGCATACCTTAGAAAGTATTGCTTTTACAGTGCTTTAGAGAATAATATTAAGACATCTGGGATTTATGTATTTTTTAAAATTAGACCTACATTTTTGCATATGATCTGCTTCTTTGTTTAAGTATACTTAAAAATTTAACTTATAATATAATTCCATCATTTCCACTTTTTTTCTCTTTCCAAATCTTCCCATATAATGCTTATTTTTCACTTTTAGATTTATTGCCTCTTTTTCATTGATTGTTCCTACATAAAAGCACACACACACACACACACAGACACACTTTCCTAAATAAACACAAAAATCATTTATATGTATTATGTAAGTGAAACACAAATTTTATTGTGTTATCTAATTATGACAGAACATTTGAGAAACTTTTTGCCTAGTATATCCTTTGGCAATTTATAGGATAAGTTAAATGATTATTAGTAAATGACATCTTACGCCCTTAATTCAACTTAGATACATTGCATTTCTTAAGTGTCTGTGCATTGTGTCATATTTCAGCATGTTTGAAATCAGGAAGTGAGAGTGGATTGACCTTGTTTTTATTCTCAGGACAGATTCATCTGATTTATTGTGGTTCTAAAAAAATTTTTGAAAAATGTTGATCATTACAAGAAAAGAATGGCACATATGGAGGTCTGTGTGCCCACTGTATGTAATCTCTATATTGCAGTCATAATACTATTGATACTACTTGTCTAGGAATTTGGAACTTTCTAAACCTTATGTAGATATTACTAATCATATGAAAATGATTTTCTGTTTAAGCATACATGTTTTACAGTTTCTCAATATTTATTCTGAAACATTTTTCTATTTATTTTATGATGTTCATGTAGGGTCCCACAAGCTTGCTCATGATAATCTTAGAATCAGGCATGAAGGAACAGCTTATCACCAACTTCTGAGAAGTTTCCACTGAAGACACACTCACCACACCCAGCTGGTGGTATTGTAGGTCTTAATTTATTTTTCCCTTTCCTTTCCAATTACTAATTTGTGCATGTTATATTATGTTATTTTTTTATGTTTTCATGTAGTAGTATGTTTGCTAGCTATATTTATAAACCCATACATTTTACATATGTATTACTAATTCTGTAGATTTTATATACTATTCATTTTAATTAGATATAGTTTATGTTTCTTGCTATACAAACTCATATTGTTCTTGTTTCCAGTGATTTTCCTGAAGACAATGTCCAGTAAATGCTTTGTGAAGTGGCCTCCACTTGTATCTTTTTCTTTCTAAATTTGGGGAAGTCTGAACCTTTGAGGATTGTAGAAATTATTTCCATTTAATTTCATAAAATTCAAATTCAATGCATGTCATGATTTCTTGATATATTCTTCATAGATTTACCTTTTTTAAATAAATATAAGGGTTGTATCCATTTATATGAATTTTCGTCATTTTCATTCCATTTTTCCTATCTTGTTCTACTTCTCCACTGAAATTATATTTCTTAGCTCACTTTGCTATATAGTTCCTTTTTATATTTAAAAATACAAGAATTTACAAAAATATTTGTATATTTACACTTCACTATCCCTCAAACTCTTACTGTATAGTCCTCACCCCACTCTCAAATTTATTACCTCCTAATTCATTATTTTTATTGTGTATTACACAGACAAATATATTTATACACACATACACACACACATACACACACTAGTGTACAAATACAACCTATTGATTCCTGGCTCTAAAATTTCCTGTGGATATAACAACAAAAATGCTAATGCTGTTACATATTATAAAGTTTTATGAAAGTGGTGGTAAGAGCCTTTATGTTACATGGACTCATAACACTGTCATGTTTGTGATTTGAAGTATTAGGAATGCTTCACCTATTTTTAAGGAAGACTTAAGTTCAATCAGGTAGATAATAGTTATTGATAATATATATGATCCTGTATTTCACCTTTAGTCAAATCTAGCCATGCTGTTCATTGATATTCAAAGGTATCATAATTAAATTATACAATTGAATACTTGACAGCTTTCCTAACAGCTTCATGGTCTCTGACAGCTAATCTTCAGTCTTCAGAGTTTTATGTAGTTCCTATTCATATTTTTATAGTTTCATAACAAAAATACAATATTTCAGCAATAGAGACTTAACTTCCACTTCTTTGAAGCAACCAAGGTCACTACTAACAGATGATTACCTTAGGTGTCTCCTGGGCTTGCTTATCAACAATTTGAATGTAGTTTTCTCCTGACTGGCTTTGATGTTCTTCTTCAGAAGTCATGGTCCCTGCTGGACAGATTATCTTCTAAAATGTGTGCAATTTTCTGTTATCCATGCACAAAATTCATATGTAGTAGATAATCTTGAGAGAATGTAAAATATTGATTCCTTGTCATTTTGACCGTCCTTAGTGTTTCTAATTATTCATTTTGTAAATTTACCTCTTGAATCCTAATAGAACTGCTTTGCAAAAATGACAAATTGTGGAACGGACGCTTAAAATAAATCCCACAGTAGCTCAGAATTGAGAAATAGATGGTTATTTATTTAGGGGTAAACTCATGAAACGGAATTCTCTGCTTGAATGGAGAACAGAGATCGAATCTAGCAATCAACAGTCCTAAAGACCAGTTGGGGATGGAAGAAAAAGGGCAGAAGCAGGCTCTGCATCAGCATTTATAGTGTAAGGGGCCATGCACCAACAGGCAATTAACCCCAAGCTGTAAGATTTCCTACAGCAACAAATCATAATATTATGTATGTAGTTCGCATATTTATTTTTTAAGTTTAGAGTGGTGGAGTATTTTATATTTTCTGATCAATTAACTTATCCAATGTGATGTTTAAAAATACCTGAATCTCTTGATCGACCTATTTTTTAATTTTAGGTATGTTAATACCTGCATTGGATTTTAACTTCATTTTCATCTATTATTATTTGGTAGTTTCTGTTATTTAGTATATTTAGTATCACTTTATGATTATTTGTGATACATTGGAAACATTCTACTTGGAAATTAAGCTAGCAGAGTGAAAGATTTTAAGAGATAGGTGGTGATGTACACGTGGGACTTGTATTCACACTGTATATTCTTATTCTTGGTCTTCTCCCAACACCTTAACTCAGTGACAAACATTGTTCCAGAAAAGTCCTGTATTGGTGTCACAATGCCTGTTTGAGTATATAATTCATTTTACAAAATACATAATTTTGTTAATTGTAATATTTTTCAGTAATTTTTGCCTCCATAATGCCAATTCTTATATTAATGTTACAATAATTAATTCATAATTAATTGCTGTTTTTGTTACATTTTAATATCTAGATATGTATTGGCATATGTGATTTGCAATGTACTTTATGTGTTGTTGATTGAGGAGCTCAATTTTCTTATTGTATCCACTTGTCCAAAAGTTTTTGAAAATGACTGTCTCATCTACACATATCAGAAGTTTTAGAAATTAAACAATGTTTTACACACACACACACATACACAATCTGATTATAATATTCAAATGGGTCTACCATTCTAACAGGCAGGTGAGCTCTAGGATCCATGACAGACTCTGTCTCTACAAAAATGAGCTGTAATTAAATGGAGGAGGAACCACGATATTGACCTTGTGTCTACACAACTGAGCAAGCACATATAGGAGAACCGTTTTACACACACACACACACTCACACACAGGTTTGTCCTAAATGTGTCACCATCTCTTCTCTAGGTATAATAAGGATAAGAATCAGCATCCACATTTTCAGAGATTGTTAGGAAATATTCAATGGCTGAGACCTTGTTGAAATTTTCTGTTGTAGACCTTATGCCACTAAATAAAATTCTTAAGGGGTACAGTGACCCATATTGCACCAGACACCTCACAGACACTGCTAGACATGTAGTGGAGCAGGTGGAAAATACAACACAGAAACAGAACATTGAACCCCACACTGGGAAAATGAGTTTTGTTTCCCAAGATATAGAATGGATAAAGGGCCAAACACTCAATCAGCATTCTTAGGAAAACTCCTAAGTAAACAGGAATCACTATGGTCTGGAAGTTTGTAGAATAGGTCCACCAAGAAGCTGTGAATCACCAACCATCACAAGATCTTCCTTCCTTGCTCAGACTGCAGCATAATATTAGAGGATCAGGAATGCAGGCTCAGTAGTTATACTTCAACCAATCTCTGTTGTCAGGAAGTCCATGGTTTCTTTTAATTACTTGTTCACATACACATAAACATTTTTCCTAGAACTTTTGAGAAACATTTTGCCTAGTATAACTTTTGGCATTTTTAAGATGAGTTAAATGAAAGTTAGTATGTGACATATTAAAGCCTTCAACTTATGTCAAATAATTTTATATTTTCTATATGTGTATGGTTTATATTTTCTAGTTCTGTATGGTTCTGTAGAAATTTTTAAATTTAGTTTATCATTAAGAAAAAGGGATGGCATATATGGGCAGCTGGTTTCCCACTATACCCAATCTCTACTTTTCTTGTAAATATTGCATTTATAATAATATTAATACATCTTCTCAAGTAATTTGGTTCTTTTCAATCATTATTTTGATGTTACTAATCATGTGAAAATGACTTTCTACTTAATTATCCATATTTTACAATTACTCACTAGTTGTTTTTAAACATTTTCTCTTTTCCTCCTATGTTGTAGACACATGAACTCATTATCCTGCTGAAGATGATCTCAGACTCAGGCACTGAGGAGGTCCTTTTTTGCTTTCTCCTGAGAAGCTTTTGATGAAGACACAGATTACACACATAGCTGGTGGTATTGTAATTCGAGGGGCTTTCTGCCTTTTTTATTATTCATTGCATGTCTGTAAAAGTCAATTAAATTTTTACATTTCTGTGCATTTGCATGTTTCCTGACCATATTTTTAATCCATCCATTTCATGCGTATTTTATTATTTCTATAGAAAGCACACTGTAACATGTGGGCCGGTTTGTTGGGGTTTCTGTCCCGCCGGGTACCCCAACAAGCCGGCAAGTCCCAAAGAGAAAAATCATACATAGGACTCCATAAGGTTATAAACTGATTGGCCCATTAGGTCAGGCTTCTTGTTAACTCTTATAACTTATATTAACCCATTATTCTCATCTATGTTAGCCATAATGGCTCCGTACCTTTCTCAGCTGGGCAAGTTACATGCTGCCTCTTCAGTGGTCTGCGCAGGAGTGGCAAGAGAGCTTCCTGTGTCCCAGAAAACTGCCAGTCTCTTTGCTCCACCCCTACTTCCTGTCTGGCTTTCCCGCCTATACTGCCTGCCTGGCCAATCAGTGTTTTATTAAAATATGATTGACAGAATACAGACAATTCTCCCACACCAGCACACTGTTGTTTACACCTATAAGTAGCTAATATTTCTTGCTATAGAAACACCTACTGATCATTTTCTCCACTAATTTCCCTGGGATAGTGATCAGCAAATGTTCAGTGAAGTGGCATCTACTTATATCTTTTACTTTCTAACTTTTGGGCAAGTACTGAAACTTTTAGGATTCTAGGTATTAGCTTTCATTTAAACTCATGAAATTTCAGAGATTTGGTAGAAGGTGACTGGAGGTTTACATAGACTAGACAGTCCTATGAATAGGACAAACAAGAGCCCAGAAGAATTCAAATCTGCACAAAGCTATTTTGGCTAATAAGGAAATCTGGGAAAGGGAGATGTTATCCTTAGAAAAGAGCACTCAATTTTATTATTTATTACCAAATGGCCTGCTTTGAAAACATACATGCAGGTATTGTTAAGAGAGTCATCAGGATATACTTAAGAATAAATCTGTATTTGTATTCATATATACATCCAACAAGAATTATAAAAATATAATGTTGTAAATGTGAAGGTAAATGTATAGTGGTATATGAGAGGGTATGAAAGATCAAAGATAAGGGAGAAATGTTGTAATTAAAATATACTCTCAAAAATAAATAGAAATGAAGTAACCTATCTCATACACACACACACTTGCAGACACATACACATGCATAAACACATATGCACACACATGTGTGCACAAACACATGAATACCCCCCACAGGAACACACAAAAAGAGAAGATAGGGTGCTTAAAATTAGCACAGAATAGAATGACTAGGAATATGGGAGAATTTTTCACTTAGGGTCTTGAATGTTTATATTTACAAATATAAAATATTTATATAATTATGTTGAGTAAAATATTTTTAAGAAGTAAACACCAGGGAAACAGTAGTAGAGTTTATATTCTGTATGTTACCTACATCATGCATGGGTTCACATTTACACCAAACTGCATTTTCATACACACACGTATACAGACACACGCAGCACAATACTTGTAAGCACATGTGCATACACACAAACAAGAGAGTTGTCAAAGTTCATATGGATAATGATTGGAGGAAGAGGGTATTTTAGATTTTGAAATGGAAGATGGATTTTTGCAAGCACACAATAATTTCACCTTTGATTTGTATGAGCTGTTTTAAATAAATGAAAGTACCAGAAAAACCGTAGGAGAGATTATTCTCTGGATGTCACCTACATGAACACATGCTTGCCTTCTCCATCTGAAAACTATTATGCATACATACACAAACAAACACACACACACAGAGAGAGCATGTGTTCATGAGAGAGAAAATCCAAAATACATATCTAATTTGCCATTTTCTTTTTCTAAAACACCTCTTAAATTATTTATTTACCATCATGGCTGTTTAGAACATTACATTCATACAGGGTATATTGGCTAACTGGGACTTGACAGCAACATTTATGTCTTTAGTTCAAGCAGTTATTGGTATGACACTCTAATACTCATGAAGATTTAAGACAGGGTGATGGTTCATGCATCTAATCAAAACACTTGGGGTAACTGACACAGGCATAGTATAAAGGTATATCAGGACCAATCAGAATGAACCAGAACAAAATGAATGATTTATGGTCAATAGCCAATTTCTAGGTCCAAACAGCCTGATATGTTCATCTTCCGGATACCACCTGCTAGTTTTGTCTGTTGTCAAAAGTAGCTAAAGCTCAGGTTAAATGGCATTTTATTGTGACTTTTCCCTTTCAATTTTCCTGCTTCTGCTGAAACAGAAAGGGATATGAGAGAGAAGCCATGTAGCTGCTTTGATGGAAAGCTCCCGAGTTACAACAAGCTTTTGAATTCTCTACCTAGGTTTGAGTTCTCCCTCTCATTCCATTGAATGTGTCAAATCTGTTGTTTTTGATTGTACACATGCAGTCAATCACAGGCAAACAGAGCTGATATAAGTCCTTATACGCAGGGTTTTTGCAAAAGTGAGTATTTGATGGAATCATATGTTTGTGACAAAAAAAAATCAATAGAGAATAGTAGTAGTAGTCTGTCCACAACTGTGACCAGTTTACTGGAATGCTCACTTCATTTGACCTCAAATTATACCAAGACTCAGGCAGTGTTACCATTTCCTTTCCTCTTTCTAAACCTTAGATAAATAAATAAACCTAAATAATAAGTGAATAGATGGACCTTGGATGTACTCATTCTACCACTATGGTCTTTGCTTATGTAATGGAACTTAGTGCATTTTCTCTGTTGTGAATCCATTTTCTGTGAATTAATGCATTTGCTTTGGAGAGGATGTTTCCTGGACTAGGGGTGTTTCATTCACTTACATCGCCAAATAATATTATGAACTTAAATGTTTGAAAAGACTTCTTAAAATTGACTATTTATAAACATAGCAATGATTATTGTGGTATTTGTGTCTGTTCAGTGGAAATGCTGGCTGTCATGGCAGAGAAATTCTTGTGCTACAGGTGCCCCAAGTAATTGACATTGCTAGGTTGTCAGTGGCCAGCCTCAACAAAAATATATTTCTTCCAAAGTGGATGCATCGGAATTTGGAAATATAGTAAAGAATAAAAAGACGCAAATGAAAGTAATAAAATGCAGAAACATATAGGATAGTAACAGGAGAGAATTTCTCAGTGAGTACTGAAAATTTGCCCATGTTTTATTTTCTCACAGCTTAATATACCCCTGATTTCACAAGGTATGAAAAGAACAAAAGGACTGCATTAATGTACAAATAGAAAGTCATGGGGTACATTCATCACTCACGCCTTTGACTCATGCCCTAGTACAAACATTCTGTAGGCAAAACACTCCCTGGTTAAAATCCCAAGTTATTTTCATAAAGCGAACTGAACTTAGTTGGATCCTTAGACTTTTGTTTTAGGTCGAAACCAACTACTTCCCTGTTTCAGGAACATGAGGTCTGGCAACAAGCTACACCTGTTGATGATAGTGTTAAGGAAACAGAACTTTGATTTACATATAGGTGTACCTTTGCTTGAGTTAGAATCACAATAATCTTGAATGAACTAAAAACAATTCCTCTCTGAGTTTTGGCCACTTTGGGTCTTCACACTGAGTTGAACTTTGTCTTGATGTGTGTGCCTGAATTCCATCCGTAACCCTAGTAATCACAGTTATTTACAAAGTAGAATTTAAAAAGAGTTTCGTTTTAATTTTATGGGTACCCTTTTTTAGATGAATGGACTTTTCTTCCTGGCTCAGCACGAAAGCATGTCAAAGTGCAGTTATTTGTATATTTTTTTAAAATTATTTAACTTTTGAAATTATAGTTCTATTGTAATGATTTCAGCTACAGAAGGCTGATATTTCCAGGTTCTAGAGATCATGCAGGTGCAGACAAGTCCTCAGGCAGAAGTGCCTAATGCCCCCCCAGGGGATGTTAAAGCGCCCTGTGTGATCCACATATGATTCAGCTAAGCCCTTGAGTGCAAGTGTATATTACATCATCCATGTATGACTCAGATAAGCCCTTGTATGTATGCATGTATTTCATCATAAAGGAGAACAAGAGCCTTATGATTTACTTCAGGTTAAACATTAAGGGGTCTAATAATTCCCCTTTCCAATAATTCCCCCTTCTTTTCCTCCCTCCTCTCCACTGTCTTCCATTAAAACACTATATCATTGTAACCATAAGCTTTTAATATGTCTAAAATTTATTTCTTTTCAACCATAAAAGCTTTTTTTCATAAGCCCCAGGAACCAACTGAACTTACTTAAATGGACCAGACTCACCCAAAATAAGTATCATTTAATTCTTCCTTTATCATTCCTGGTCTTGGGATGAGACCCTGGGAAATTCCCTACTCCACCCCCCAAAAAAATCCTTTATCTTCTACCTAGTGATTCTCCTCCATTAATCACCGGGATCTAAAATTTTTTCCAGACATAATTTTCTGCTTTTCCAACATCTTTTGAGGTCCTGGCTGCCAGCCAGCCAGTTCCACAGATCCCAGAAAAATCAGAAAAGTAATCAGCCTTCCCCAAGACGTGTTTAAGCATCTCATCTTTCTGATGCCCACAAAATCATCAGGAAGCAGACATGAGAGATGATGCCTCATTCCCACCCATTAAAGACTACAGACTTCCCATATTTTATAATAAACAAAAGGGTGAAATGTAATTATTTCAGTCACATAGACTGATACTTCAGAGTTCTAGGGGTCATGCAGTTGCAGACAAGCCTTCAGGCAAGAGTGTGTAATGGCCCCCAGGGAAGTTAAAGGGCCCTGTGTGGTGCACATATGACTCAGCTAAGCCATTGCACACATGCATGGATTACATCATTCATGTATGACTCAGCTAAGCCCACATGTGCATGTGTGATTCCCATCATCTACATAGAACATAACCACATCAATCCACTGTGCATATGTGCTACGTGCTTTTAAAGCGGGACATGCTATCTTCCTCCCTCTCTCTCTCTGCACACTGACTTCCCCATGTCTGTA